AAAGAATGATCAATACTGAACAAGAATCTTTGGCTTGAGCAGAGCTTTGCCCAAAAAAAGACATAGATTTTGTCTTGTTCTTGGAGACATTTTTGTCTAACACTGAGGTCCAGGAAATGAGGGCCATTGTTGCTTAACCTGTTCATATCAGGAGATGAAACATTTTCCTGGCAAGTTTTGAGTCTCTCAAATCATCTGGTTCACTAAGAATACAGATGCTTTGGGCAGAGACCTCACCCTTGAACTTCAGAGGCATAATGATGCCTCTGGGTCTCAGGTCAAATTCCCCCCACCCCCATCTGCCATGCCTATTCTCTCCCATTTCTTCCCCAGCCACCCTGTCCCTGCTGCCAGAGACCTGGGAATCAGAGTCTTTCTCCTCAATTCCTATGCTGGCCCAGGTGTGCCACATGCCACCAACTAGTCATATTCAACCTATGACCAGCTAGATTAGGCCCATCATCTGCCTGCAGTCTCCTATGGATAATAGTATCCCTATAGCACCCTGGCCCCCAATACCACCAAAGGCAAACAGGATATAAGTGGGTTAGGAAAAACCAGCTAGATTTGCAGAGTGTTAGGAAAATAAGTGAGGGAAAAGAGGCCTCTCCCAGAGCTGCTTTTGACTGATTTTCTTCTCTTCTGGTTTCTACCCTGTAAACTGGATTCAGCCTCCCCCTACACTCTCAACTCCATCTCTGGAAGGTCCCAAGCTCCAATCACAGCAAGGTCAGCTTTGTCTATGGAGGTTGGGGTTCAGTGTCCTGCCCATCTCCATTTGAATCCCACAGCTCTACCACTTTCTAGCTGTGTGAGTCCTTGGGCAGCTCACTTAACCTTCTTAGCCTCATTTTCCCCATCTGTGAAATAGGGCTAGTAAAACTCACCTTGTAAGGTTGTTGTAAGGACTAGAAGCAATGTCTTTCTTTTTTTTTTTTTTTTTGAGTTGGAGTCTCTATCTGTCACCCAGACTGGAGTGCAGTGGCTGCTCCTGGCCACCGCAGCCTCGACCTGCTGGCTCCGGCGATCCTTCCGCCTCAGCCTTCCAAGTACAGGCTACTACAGGTGCGCACTACCACGCCCGGCTAATTTTTTATTTATTGTAGAGATGAGGTCTCGCCAAGTTGCCCAGGTGGGTCTCAAACCCGCGG